AACGTATTATTAATAATAAAATTAATAATAATTTTTGTATTTTTAATATTAATTAATATAAAAAGTATAATAATTACACTTTTAATATATACAATGTACATGTTTAAAAAACTCAATTAGAAGAATAATTGTTACTTTTTTCTTTAAAAAATACAAAATTTTGAATTAAAAAATAAAGCCTATTTTAAATTTAAATTAAATGAATAAAAAATTAACACATAACATTTAATAAATAAAAATTTAACACATAATATTTAATAAAAATAAAGTTTATCTAGTATGTATTTTAAGGATAAGATTGAAGATGCATTAAATGCACATTTTAACAATTAATTTAAAAAAATAAAAATTAATTTTTATTTTAATGTTGATGGCACATAAACAATTTTAATTGATCAAGTAATTAAATTCAAGTTAACTTTTATTAATTTTTATATAAATTAATTATAAAAAAATATATTTATTGCACTCTAAGAATATAAATTAAAAAATCTATAAAAATAAAAGTAAGCTGCATTTTTTTCAAAACAAAAAGTACTAATTATTACATAATAATTAGTACTTATTCATAGTGCTGTTTTAATTTTTAGTAAGTGTTTATTTGATAATATTATAGTTATAATATTATTTAGTATTGTGAACTTATAATTATAAGATGATATAAAATAAACATAATAAAATATTAAATATTTATATATATTATTATAAATTAATTTTTAAATAAAAAACTAATTATATAACTATAAATAAATTTATAATATAACGTAATATTATAATTATGTTTTAATTCTTTATTAGTCATGACAATGAAAAAAAGATGAGACAGGTGTAAAGGGCGGGAGAGTAACCGTCGAGAGATGATCCTGGTCCTGGAAGTGGAAAAGGGGGAAGGAAGGTGCCCGCGGTGAGCTGAAAGCTGAAATCAAAGCTATCACGAGATTCTTGGGAACCAATGTATGATTGCAAATTGCATACTCATCCTTCATTCAATTCACCTGCTGCAATTGTATTACCAATGTAGTGTTTCTCCTCCCCAACCTTGAATTCAATCGTATTTTTTCCTGACTTTTGAATGTTGGAATGCAACTTTTACTTCCTGTTAGCTTCTCCTACTTGCTCGTGATGAGAATTCATGAAATTTCAAAAGGTAACTCTATATAACAAGATTTTTCTTCGATTATTTTTTTAACATATTATAATTTTTACAAATTAATTAAGAGATAAAAAAATATTTCTTAATACGATTCAAACGTACAATTCATGTGGAGTGAATAATTTTAACTTAACCTAAGATGTATTGTCATTTGGTTGAAACGAATTGTTTTAGCAAGAATTTTTTTATTAAACAAATATTTTGTAATTTAAATTACATTAAATTATAAAATATTAATTTAATATTTATTATTAAAATGAGATACAATCTAATATAATTAAAATTAAAATATTTTTCACTTAACTTGCTACGTGTAATAACAACAATATAGCAGCACCTAGCATCGGTGTTACCAACAGCGGAGGTTACAGCCTGCAATCTCTATCCTGAAAAATCAGAAAGAGCCAACCCTGAAATAACGTTCGGAGGCTAACGTGTCTCAGTCTCTATCTTTGCTGATTCATTCAAATGTAAAACGCGTTCCCGTTCTCTCACTCTGCAACGTTTTCTTCCCCCTCTTTATCTCCTTTTTCTCACTCTAGCAGCTCAGCAAAGAGAAACCGCTTTCCCTCATTTTCCCTCATTTTCCCTCACTATCCTGAGAAAAAGACAAAAGCTTTAAACTGGTAGCATCCCCAAAACCAAAAGGGTTCCCGAAAGTTTCAGACTTTCACTCTCCAAAATGAACTGTTCAGTTTGGATGGAAGGCAAGGAGGAGGAAGACTCTGCCTCATGGAACAGAACCAACAACAACAAAGAGGAAATGGGTTCTCTCTCTACCTTCAAATCGATGCTTGCTGTAGAAGATGATTGGTACATGGGGAATGGTGGGATTCAGAATCATCAGGACATGAGGGATATCTCGTTTTCACCCAATTTTGGTGATCCGGAGAATTTGTTGATGCATTCTATGGATTCTTCCTCTTCCTGTTCTCCTTCCGCTTCTGTTTTCAACAATCTTGACCCATCTCAGGTACAGTACTTTTTGCCTCCTAAGCCTGCTTTGTCTTCAATCCTTAATGTTGTCTCTAATAATCCTTTGGAGCATGGGTTTGATTTGGGGGGAATTGGGTTCCTTGAGAACCAAGCAACAAATGCCTCTAGTTTGTTGAACAGGGAAAGTACTGGAGTTTTGAGCAGCTTCCCTGATTTTAGTCATGGTAATCAGATTAGCACCGTTAATCCTTGTTCTGAAGCTCAATTTTCAACTAGCCGTATGCTTCAACTGCCGGAGAGCTGTCCCGGCGGGTACACTGGTTTCCGGGGTTTTGATGAGAGTTCTGGAACTGCTATGTTCTTGAACAGGTCAAAGTTGTTAAGGCCCCTGGAAACTTTACCTTCTATGGGGGCACAGCCTACTCTCTTTCAAAAAAGAGTGGCTTTGAGGAAGAATTCAGCTGAAAATGGAGGCAATTTAGGGGCCTTAGGCGGAGGAAGTGTTGTTAATCAGGGTTTGAGTGGGATTGAGGTGCATAAAGGAAAGAAAGAAATGGGCGAAGAAAATGACAAGAGGAGGAAAATTAGCAGTGGAGATGATTTTGAAGATGTGAGCCTTGATGGGTCAGGTTTTAATTATGATTCAGATGAGTTCACAGAGAACACTAAGGCGGAAGAAACCACTAAAAATGGTGGAAACAGCTCAAATGCCAATAGTACTGTCACTGCTGGAGATCAGAAAGGGAAGAAGAAGGGGCTTCCTGCTAAAAATTTGATGGCTGAGAGACGCCGCCGAAAGAAGCTCAATGATAGGCTGTACATGCTGCGTTCTGTTGTTCCAAAGATCAGCAAAGTAAGAATTAATTTCTTTTACATTTTTTTCCCGTGAATTCCAGCATAAAATATTCCGATGTTTTGGGTTCTTATGAACATCTTTCCTTTTCCTTTTGATTCATTTGGTTTGCATTTCTATATTATGTGAATGAGTGGCATCTTTTGTTTTACATGTTCCAAATGCAATAAGAAAAGTTGCATTAATTTCTCTCACATGTTGTCTGGTGGACTGTCTTGAATTTCACCGTAGTTGCTTGGGCCACTTGTGGTAAAATAAATTCTAATAGGGCATCCCCAATGGTATACCACAAGTTAATTTTTTCAATGTTTTGTTATCGGGCAGATCTTTGTCCTCTTGTAGCAGAAAATTTGTTGAGTCAAGACTTCAGATCCATTTCTAAGGGATGTGTCTAGTTCTCTTGTTTTTGAGGGTACTCTCCAGTCCTTGTTTTGGTGACCACCACCGCCCTTCAAAACTTGTATCTTTTACATTTTTTGGATAGGTTCGGAGGCATGGTTTGTTGTTCACAATGTCAATTCTCTAAGGTTTCATGTCATGACCCTTAGAAGGGACTGATGAAGAAACAGATGAAACTTTGAACCAAGAAAAAAGAAAGGCATGCAGAATAATCCATATGCTGCTGACTTGATTGTAATATTTTACATAATCAAGTTCTTAGAACACCTCTTTAAAATCCCTCAAATTATTTTGATATGAAAACTCCCTCTTATATTCACCAATGTGCTTTGGTAACTATGTACTAATGTTTTTGTATTATATTGACAGATGGATAGAGCTTCAATTCTTGGGGATGCAATTGAATACCTAATGGAACTTCGTCAAAGAATTAATGATCTTCGTAATGAACTAGAATCAAACCCTTCTAGTGCTGCATTAACACCGACGACAAGCTTCCATCCTCTAACGCCAACTCTACCTACATTGCCGAGTCGTATCAAGGATGAACTTTGCCCCAGCTCATTACCGAGCCCAAACGGGCAGCCTGCGAAAGTAAGTTCTTCTAATTATGTTCCAGACTTCTCATATGCGGTACCCATATTATGCGAGAAGATAACTTTTCTTCAATTAGTCATGAACCTCATGGGAGTCCCACAGATGGACAGTCCCTACAAATACAATCATGCAATGATTTTTGCATGCAGTTATGGAATTTCTGAATGATACATTTTTACCCTGCTTTACATACAGGTTGAAGTAAGGATGAGGGAAGGAAGAGCTGTAGACATCCACATGTTTTGTGGCCGCAGACCAGGTCTTTTGCTCTCCACAATGAGGGCTTTAGACAACCTTGGACTAGATATCCAGCAAGCTGTCATTAGCTGTTTCAACGGTTTTGCAATGGATATCTTCCGAGCTGAGGTACAATTTTCACTGTTATAGATGCTCCTCTATTTTGTAAAATTAGATCTC